ATGTTGTGTCTCTGTGTGTGTGTGTGTGTTTGTGTGTGTGTGTCTCTGTGTGTGTGTGTGTGTGTGTGTGTGTGTGTGTGTGTGTGTGTGTGTGTGTGTGTGTGTGTGTGTGTGTGTGTGTGTGTGTGTGTGTGTGTGTGTGTGTGTGTGTGTGTTCAGTAGGAAGGCCTGAGGGAAGACAGAGTCCTTGTGCAACATTCATCCTCTGCTTACGTAACACTGGAGCTCTGTGGAGATTAATGTGACCATACTACAAACTGCACTGACCCCAAAATGACAGTGGATTAATAAAAGTCACGTTCACATAACATCAAGTGTTATTTCATTGACTGAATATTACAAATATGAATCATCTTTATTGCTAGGTAGGTGCCACTTACGTTGGTGCAACATCTTGCTAATGCACGCTTTATTCTTCCATAAAATGGTCTGTGAGTCCTCTAATTACACTTCTAAGCTTGTGATGCAGCTGAAATGATATACAGTAGCTCTGACTTGTTGTCAAGGTTAAACAAAACTAAACTCATTACTTGCAGAAACACACACTTTCCTGTGGCTTGAAAACAGCTGGGGAAAACATCCAGACCACAAACTGGAAACCACCACTTAATGTTTGTTTATTGCACGTTATAAAAGCTGTGAAATGTTAGCATAGCCACAAGATAGCAGCTCCGAAGTAACTGGGAAACACAGACAAGACAATGGGCCTTTTTTTTTTAATTAAGTGCATATCAGAACCAGATAGGATAGGACAGGATGTACTGGGAAATGTTTGCAACAAAACAAAAGAAGGCCTTGCACATAGGTAGAAATTAAAGAGTAGAAATAAACAATACTAGTATTTAAACTCTGACTCTTTTCTTACTCAAACCAATAAAGCGCAGTTTAAACAACGTGATGTTGTCACAGCTGCTTACATCAGACTCTCTCCCTTCACTTCTAATCTTTTCATTCAGCTGATCCAAAGTGACCTACAACAAGTGCAGCAGGCGGGACGTCAGGATCTGAACGCTACGTTAAAAAAACTGCAAAATCTATTTTTTTAACTCGCTGTAGCTGCATGTCAGATTTGTCACTGGATATGAGGGCTTGGTATTCAATAAATATGACCTTAGAAGCAGCATGTGACCTTGACTGTAACATTAGAAAACTCAACAGCTTAATGTGAGATCATACAGCCCAAAAAACCTTCAAAAAATACCACTCAAATAGTGAAAAATTAAAGAAAATAATTGTAATAATCTCCCGGTGCTGCTTTCTATTTGGGCGTAACGTCAATATATGAAAAACATTTACAGACAATGTGAATTCAAGTCGTTATTTTTGTTGACTAACGAGACTTTGCACACGTGGCGGTCAACTTCACGAAGCTAACACTTACTGTACATGTTTATTTTAAGATATTATTAGGTATAGCTGTAACTATGACTATTACAGCCAGTTACATACAATAAAACAGATTCAAATGTACCACTGTGTCGAGGAACAGTAGGTTCTTATATGGTCTTAAAATAATGATTCAGCATTTAAAAAACAATGTACTTTGATTTAAATCCAATAAATACTTTGGTTTAGACCCACCAGGCCACTAAGGTATTATTTTGGGATATCCAGTCAATACTTTTCTCTTAACATTGTATATTATCCATAGATTTTTGTACAAGATGTGTTGTAATGTATTTATATATATAATCCAATGCCAATATTTGTATTCAAATGTATTCAGTATTTCCTTTATATAGTGTATTGTTGAGATACTCTAGGAATATATGTATTTTCTATTGTGTATATTTGCTGTTAATGTTTATTATATGTGTATGTTAGTGCTAATATTTTACATGTAAAGTTACCATCAAACCTACAAATCAGCAGACTGTTGTCATATCTTCAATTTAATCTAGGATTGCATTTAACAATGTATTTATCTGAATATTTATTGACTACAATAAACATTATTTTGATTTATCCTGGTATGTTTTTGTCTATTTTAACATGTATACAGACTCCTGCATTTACTTGGTCACTTACAACAGTATCAGCTTATTGTTTTTATTCTTATCTGACATGGTTTACTTTAATCTGCTTTATTTTAGTCGCTATTTGTACTGCTTTTTAAACGTGTTGTATTGTTTACGTCTTATATATATATAACGTTGCATTGATGGAGGAGCTTTGGGCTTAATATTTGCATTGCATATCTACACAGTAACGTCTGTGTATGTGAGAATGAAGCCTTTGCATTTGTACATTGAAATGATTATGTGTATTAAGCATCATGTGTTCTCTGTGAAGGGCGAGGAGGATGACAGCTTCACGATTGCATCATTAAAACGCATGGAGCCTTAAATCACTGCAGAAATCAAACAGCATGTTAGTTTGTAATACACACTTACCTTAAATCGAGGTTTCTCCGCAGCATTGAGCGATATCACTGTTAAATACGGTGTGAATCCTGTAAAGCGAAACCTGAAACAATGGAGCGGAAGGGAGGGAAGTGACAAACACCACGCGAGTCATCAACGTGCGATACGTGGGTGTGATGACGTATTTAACACGGGTTTTGTAGTCTTTTGTTTTTGTGTGTGTTTCTCTTCCGTTTTTCTTTTAAAATGCCATGCACAGTTATTCCAAAACATCAGAAAAAGGCACATAACATCGCGGTTCATTATATGTATTCAAAATTGAGGGCGTTATGAACAGAAAACCAAATTAGAAAAGTGTAAAAGTAAAGTAAAATTGTTTGTCTTTTTGTTGCTGTTGTACTTTTACACAATTTAATTATTTCTATGATGTCATGTCATAAGGATAATTTTTCTAATTTATTTTATATATACTGGATTTGCACCATCCAAGGTTTGTAAATGACTCTTGATTAATAAAGGTTATTTTTCTTCAAACAACACCTACGAGTCATCCACGTGCGACATGTGGGTGTGATGACGTCTTTATCACGCGGCAGCAGTCTGTGTCAAATTAAGAAGGAGATTATTTTTCGCGTTGTTTTGGACTTTCTTTGCACTTCGCAAGTCTTTTTGCACCAAAACGTCGCTTTGGATAACAGCCTTATATTTGCTTTTGTAACCTGTTTACGTCGAAGTGACAGATTTGACAGCAGAAGGTAAGCAGCTTTTTCTCAATGCATCAAACACAATGTAAATATTCTCTAATTGACTCAAAGATTGAAGCATGCACATTCATTAAAATTTTCAAGAGCATGCATGGAAGAAACCGACATGTGAACGTGTTAAATCTAGTGTATTAAAACAGTGTCTCCCGGAATTAGATTATTAGCCTCGGACTAAAAGTAACTGGCTGCAGTTAATCCTAACCTTGAAGTGCAATTGAATTGATTTTAAAAGAAAATATATCAATCGTATTTAACCAATGATGCGTTTGTATGGCTTTTTTTTAGTAGGAGGGTAGGTAGGATAGATATATAGATGGATGGATGGATATTTGATTGATCCCAAGTGTGTTCAGACATTAACATACAATACTTAAAATACTTTAAAAAGTGGAAAAGAAAATGAAAAATATGATATACAGGTGATAGATAGATGGATAGATAGGGAGGTACATAAATAAATATGGGTAGGTAGGCAGGCAGTGTATATATATCAGATAGATAATTTTGACAGCCATTGTAAATAACAACCTTTCTTGAAAACAGAATAAAATACAAATATAATCAACATTAAACAAGTTACCCTAACCCATCCAGAAGTGAGTTGTTGTTGTATAGAGAGTAGATCATAACCAAAGACAGCTGATCGAATATGTTAACTTATCACAGGAGTATTTATTAACCAAATACTGTCTCCAGGCTCCATTCACCATTTGTCTTGCTGATTTCTGCTGGTGGATTGTCATGTTACTATATGTCTGTTTCCTTGTGTGTTAATGTTCACGTACACTACCTCACAGTTTGATATTTCCTCTCATTGCACGTTTATCTGTAGATCACCTGGTGCAGGTATGCTGCAGGTTGATGGATGAACTGTTGGATGGATTCATCGATTCATTCGTTTGTCTCCGGTTTCACTGCTGCTCTTCTTCCCTCTGTCCTCTCCCTCCATTGCTGTCGAACTCCTCGGCTTGTGAGCGGATGAATGCGAAATCTCGTGATTGTACCTTCGCCCAAAGGACTCCATGTCTTTCTTGGTAAGCATTTCACGCTGCATGGGTTTTTACTTCGTAGATGTCAAGTCACAAATCAGCTGCTAAAGGTGGGATAAGGAAAAATGCAATCAGCCTATTAAGATTATTATAAGTTGGATCCGACCTGGTGGCAATGCACCAATATAGAAACGTCAGATATCAGATTATACGTATAGTCTTAACCACCATTGCATCTGCATTTATGAGATAGATTTGTTTGTACCTGCAATGGTTATTTAAGCACAAATCTTGAAGAACTGTTCAATATGTTTTGGCTGGAATCTGATCTTCTGTAGTCCGATGGCTTAATTTCTATATATATTTAATTTTAAGGTAGGAGAAAACTACTTTTCCGTGTGTTCAATAAAAAAAATGGTTAAATATCAGAAGCACAACTATGCATTAGATACACCCACCTTTCATTATACATAAAGATCTTGATCATTTCAGATAGGAATACTTCATTATAAACCTTATGATACGTCCCCTCTGCTGGGACTTTTCATCAGTCACTCATCTGCCTCTGTGTTGTCTATTAACCTCACTCTCACCACTTGCGATTAAATGCCTGTATATTCCCAGATGCTTGCTTTCCTCAAAAGCATCGTATCACGTTCCACTTCACTCCGACATGTCCCGTAAAGCATGTTTCCTTCCCCCCCTCCTTCACTAGGATTGTTCCTGCATTTCCCACACTCAAGTCCAGCCGTTGGACATAGAGGAGCGCTATGAGGACATCAGCCACCAGTTTCTGGTCAGTATTTTCATGCCACTGAATTCCCACCAAATTGAGTCGCCAAGAGGCTAAACTTGGCTTCATGCTGTGATGCGTTTTCAATCAGCAGTCCGTACCGATGTTGAAGGTACAGGACGATTAATATAGAAACACACAATAACTTGAGTAGGAACACACAGTTCACCCTCTTTGTTTACCGGCATGCAAAAGGTGACCTAAAGGCAAATTAACGTGATTTAAATCAAGCATTTTGGCTCTATTCATTTACCATCTTCTCTGGAGCTGATTAACCCTTTCCTTAAAGCGGTTAAAGACAGTAACTATTGGAATAAAACATTTGCAAATCTGCAGTAAATGTTCAGTTTGTTTGGCTGAAATCTGTTTACTTCTCATATCAAATGTAGTCCTATATTTAGTGATTATTTCTACTAACTATCTGTAATATAATAGGCTTGTAAGTAAAGTAATTTCCTTGTGATAATACAGACAGATTGGATAATGAAACATGGATGTGAAACAGAGCATCAGAGACACACACAGCTGTCTGATGCTGAAAGGGAACGTGAGAAAACATGAGAAAACTCCCCAAAATCTGTCTGTATTTCAAAAACTGCAAGCATCTTCCTCTTCAGTGTCACAGTGACGCCCCCTGGTGGCCATCATCACACATTACATCACCACTACATGCTAGGATTACTAGAGGCATTTAATTCAATGTTACT